CGAAATTTCAGCGATTTAGCGATTCTCGGAATCGGATTTAATCTTAAATGATCTAATAGGCAGTTTCTAAGCTGATTTGGCCGGAAATAAACGGTTCAGAAGCTCTTAAGGGCGCCACAACCCAGCTACGAAAGTTACAGTATCCAAACCCACACCCAAAATCTGTCGAAAAGACGGATCTATCGAACGCCAAATTCTGCCTCGTGGCAAATCGCTATAAACGGGCCGTTGAGGCCAATAATACGAATGAACCGGGTGATCGGGACGGGCTTTTCGTCGCCCCTTACACGTCAAAAGCGGGGGATGGGTGGGTGGGTGTGGAGGGGAGAAGGGGGAGACGGTGGGGGCTGGAGCCCCCTGCGTCTCCACCGATTAGGCCAGGGTCCCGCCGCGAACCGAACTGCAAGCTGGCCAATTGCCAATTGGGGAGAGGGGCTATGAACTACAAAATTAGTGAAGGTAGAGGCCTTTGACCTAGCGATATCACAGAGAATCAGAAATTACTGAGAATAAGGGAATTACTGAACTTGGGTTTTTCAATTTGAACAACTTGCAAAAAATCGATGTTGATCTGACCCAGATACCCGAAGGTAGACATCAAAGGCTCTGTCGGCATGCATCAATGGTAACGACAGATATCTTATATTGATACCTACGCAAAGCATTTATTGATAGACTTCAATTTGGTGCAAAACTACAAACTACAGAAAACCAATGCGGAGCGAGCACCAAATAATTGTATTTCGGCTGAACAAAGATTAAACTTTTCAAAATTCTGGAAGAATATTTCGGAAAATCCGAAAAACCCTCCGACTGCAGGAACCTCATAGTTTTTGAAGTTTTCAAACCCGGTTTTAGGTACGTATTCATGCCGGTCGAAAGTTGGTGTAGCGTTCTCAAATATCCGCTTTCTTGTCGAAGTTTAATGACATGAAGTGTGTTTTTCAAGAGCGGCAAATGTTTCCTCTTATGCAAGATTTTATTAGGAATCGTTATTAGCGGTATTATCATAAGCGTTCCTCCCGTAGCCGTTCTAGCACAAGTTGCACGACTTCTGGCAGTTGGCCGTCTTCGCCGCAGTATCATAGGTGTCGCTGTTGCAGAAGTCGCTGTTCTTGATCCACGTGGCGCAGCTAAAAAATTAAGGTTTTTCAAATGAACTTGATTTCTAGGGAAAATTTGCGAAGCTGAAACAGCCTCTGAGAATTCTAAAAATCAAACTCTCTTACTTGGTGCTCTTGTCAACACAGGTAGAAGCGGAGCAGAGGTTGCAGGTCTTGGCGCAGGTCGTGGCCCTGGAGTCGGCGTAGAACGGATTAGTGCAGTAGCCATTCTTGGCCCAGTTGGCGCAGCTTAAAGGGGGTTTTAATTTGTGAAGACTACCTATCACCTTCATTCTTTCTCTGCCTCTCTCTCTCTCTCTCTCTCTCCTCCAAACAAGACCTACTTGCCGTCAGTGTCCTTGCAGGTGGCGGGAATCTGAAAAAAACAGTAAGTATGTCAATTTCATAAAAAATGTGAGAACTTTCGAGACTAGATTCCACTTACCGCGGCGCATTGGTTTAAACCGTTTACAATCCAGCATTCGTACCCATCCGGACAGACGCCAGCGAGTTGGGCTAAAGGTCGTGTTTCAATAGGTCAAAACGAGTATAAAAACAAAAAAATCGATAGGCGCAAACCAAAAAGAAAATACATCTGGATTGGTTATCCACAAAAAAAATGGTTCAATTCCTTACGCCCAATGATAGTTGTGTCTGGAACGCCTGTCTTGCAGGTGGCAGCTGCCTAAAATTCTAGTTGATTCCAGTCTCTTGGTTTTCACAAATTGTCGCTGCTGGCTTGCTTTGAAATATAGCTAGAACGGGCTAAGAACGATGATTTAGCGTTCCACAAATGGACTCTGCTAGCCGGTCCGAAAAGAAAATTTGGCTTTGGATTTTTTTTTGGTTTCCGCAAAGACTCTCTGTTTGCCTACCCGAATAAGCAAATTTAGCTAGTCTCTCTTGGTTTGCCCTCTGACAATAAGTCTAATTCTTTTCTAGTTTCGATGAACGATCCCTGTCAGCCGCGCTAAAGCAGACAATTAATTTAATCTATGTTGATTTCCGCAAAGAACCTCTGCAGCCTGCCCCAAACCTCATTATTTTTTTTATCAGGCGCAAAAGGCGCCGCTATGTTGATGCCGTTATGCTTACCTGTTGACCGGCGAATCCAAGAATGGCAACGGCGACGAGTTGGGCATGCATTCTTCAGAAGTCAGAGGATGACGGAATTGGTCAAGTGTCAAACTTATCGACACTTTACCTTTTATACAAAAATCTTTTGCTGATTGACATTCAGTCTATTTGCGCGGTGAAGAGGCGTACCGGGCAAAGCCAGCGCGAGCAGCTCAGGAATTCGCAAACGCCCCCTCTGACCTTCACCCAGGAATTTTTGGGCTTTCGAGAGCTCAGAAGCGCCCTACGTTCGAATTCTCAGGCCGGCTGTACAAATCTATTAGGTGCGAATCGCCCCCATCGGCCCGGGGTGTCATGTCTGTCAAAAACGTACTCTGTAGTGTTGAAAGTTCGGGAGACGCCTTTCCTAGAATCGAAAGTCTTCCTTTTATGCATCGTATCGTTCGATGGGGGAGTGGGTTGTTTCCTGCAGTGACAACAAGACGCGCCAATCTTACCATCGGAAGCAGCGCTCGAATCTAATCATTTACCTTATTTACTTTACTTAATTATCTGGCACTATTTAACGACTTTTTTTGAGCACTGTCTATCCGCGTCATGGAAAATGCAAAGTCAATCCAAGCATCGACGGGCTAATGAGAAGCAAGAAAAAAACTATCGTTGGAGGGGCATCGAAGATCACTTTGCATGGAACTGCCGTCACTTTGTTTCAGTCGAATCTCGATAGAGGAACGAAATAATGATAAGTTCGGTATGTCATGATAAGCGTGATGCACAATCAAACGGCACACATATGATATTTCCAAGTCAGCTAATTTCGATTGCAAATCGGGACTTGCAACCTAGGGAAGGTAATCGAAGGCGAAGACAGATACCGATTCATATTGCACGTCAAAAAAAGAAAACGGAAGAATTCATCTACTGAAACTTCTGAAAGTTGTGTCACCATCCATAGAAGTTTCTGAAGGATTTATCATAGTAATTAATCCATGAAAATTCCAGCTTTTTCGCAAGGCATCTAAAACTTGCAATGCTTGCAATTTTCTTTTAGCCACAATCTCGTTATAAGCGTTGAAAAAAATTCAGTGTGTTCTCATAATCCGCCACAAGTCTCTTAATTGCACAAATTTATTACGCATCGTTGTTAGCGAAAATTTCGCTGCCATCTCGCCCTTCGCTTTCTCAGCACAGGTTGCACGACTTCTGGCAGTTGTCGTTCTTGGCCGCCAGATCATAGTTGGCGCTGTTGCAGAAGTTGCTGTTCTTGATCCAGGTGGCGCAGCTGAAATTGGGATTATTCTAATTCTCGAAATTTTTAGGAGATTTGGAAATTTTGTCAATTTGTCAAAAAACGTGCTAGCCTTTTATGTTGCTAAAAACATACTTGTTGCTCTTGTCAACACAAGTAGACGCGGTGCACAGCTTGCAAGTGTAGGGACACGTGGTGGCCCTCGTCTTCTCATAGAATGGATCGGTACAGTAGCCGGTCTTGGCCCAGTTGGCGCAACTATAAGAAATTCTTGGTTTTCGACGTGACCTCTCTGTCTCTCTCTAGCTCGCTCTCTCCCTCTGCCTTTCTCATTCTCTCATGCATACGCATTACTAACGCGAACTGACCTGTTGCTGGCGTCTTTGCACGATGCGACCTTGTGCTGAAATTTCTGGGTTTAAATGATACCTCGAAAGCGAACATTAAAATGATTTAATAAATTGCACGCTATTTAGTAAAAATTCAATCTGACTCACGTCAACGCACTGTCCTGCTCCATCGATCTTAATGCAATCGTATCCGGTTGGGCACGAGTCAGCGATCGCGGCTGTAAATAGCAACATGAAAAAAATACATGGAATAAAACTGATATCTGAGAGTTGCTTTTACTTACGCCCAATAATGTACTGGGTCGGAATCGACGGGCCGGCTGGACACTCGGCGGTTGCCTGAAATCGGTGGTTCGTTGAGTCTGATTTTAGACAAATGATCTTCGCTAGCCAGCCCTGCGTAGAGGACCATCCGCTTTAGGTTGAAGCCTATGCCTAAGCCTAAGCGGAAGCTGACAATAGCCGCTTCTAGCCGGCTCCGCATTCTATTGCACTTACCTGCTGGCAGACGAATCCAAGAATAGCGACGACGACGAGGTAGGCCTGCATGCTTCAGAAGTCAGCTAAGACCGACCGGGTTTAATGAAGTGCCAAATGAATCCACACCACGCCTTTTATACCCAAAACTTTTTCGAATCGACATTCAACCTATTTGCGCGGTGAAGAGGCGTGCCGGGTTGAAGCCAGCGTGGCAAACCCCCAGGAATCTGCAAATCTGCCCCTCTGACCTTAGTCCCGGCCCTCGGCACAGGAATTCGTTGTGCTCATGAAGCTTCGAAAGCGCCAACGTTCGGATTCTCGCGCCGGCTGTGTAAATTCACGCGGGTCCATTTTGCACTCCCCGCCCCCAGGAGTAGCTGTTTGCTAAAAAACGCATCTCTAGCCGGTGTGGCATGAGTTCGGGAGTCGATTTCTAACGATCAAGAAATTAACAATACCTTCGAGAACTTTTTAATCAATCGTAGAAGCCTATCTCGTGCGTGTTTTCGAAAAAAACGCGAAGGAAGAATTTTCTGATTCCGAAATCCAGGAAGCGTACCGCACAGGCTGCTCCACATTGGTGTACGGAATGGTACGATATGGTACGCACCGTACTTTGTTGTGCTGTGATATAATAAACTATGCCTATGCGACCCTTGATCTTCTGTTGTTTCTTATCTTGTGGCTTAAAGGCGATATGAGAGGTAGTAAATTTATCGCAATTTTCTACAAAATTTATTAGCAGAGCCCGCAGGTTGCCGAGCAGTAGTCCTTCTTGATCGAGTCGTAGAGCGCGTTCTCGCAGAAGCCGTTCGCCTTCCAGTTTTTGCAGCTGAAAAAAATTGGATAGAAGTTATTTGTTGTTGAGAATCCAAACTACAAGCCAATAAGCGTTGAGTAATCTTGGAAAGCATATTCTACTTATACGAAAAAAGGATACCTGGCGCTCTTGTCCGCGCACGTATCATAGCAAAGCCCACAGCTCTTCGCGCAGTAGTCGGCCTTCGACTTTGCGTAGTACGGATCGGTGCAGAAACCGTTTTTCACCCAGTTTGCGCAGCTGAAATGACGTATAGAAAAATTAAATTGGTTCCTTAAAGCTATCGAACGTCACCAGCTTATTCAGACTTTTTCCATCAGGCCAATTTAAGCAAGCTGTCAAGCAGGTTACTTACTTCTCATCCGCATCTTCACAAGGCTTCGGTGGTGGCTAAAACGGCACATTAATAGATTTACTGGTAACCATTAAAATAATTAAACTATTACACCATTACATAACCATTAAAAAGTAGTATTTATATACCATACCCCATAGCAGCCATTCGTCTTGTTATGCAAATAGCAGGTCAATCCGGTAGGGCAGGATGGATTTTTCGGGTCGAGAACGGCTGAAAAGTATATGGATGTAAGTATATGAAAAATAAGTGATCAAATACGAGAGAAAAAAATAAAAATCTACGTACGTCCAACATCAACGAGAGTAGAATTTTCGGGAGGACCTTCCGGACAGTCTTTCGCTAACGCCTAAATAAAGCGAGTTGAATTTCTGGGTACATTTTTAGGAGACTTTCCAGATTCTAAGAGAAGCCAGAGAGAGAGCGAGAGAGACAGAAAGAGAGAGAGAGAGAGAGAGAGAGAGAGGGAGATATTAAAAAACGCTGAACCCACCTCTCGACAGGCCAAGCCCAGGAATACGGTGAAAAGCAAATATTTTTGCATTGTGATTTTGCCAGGGAGTGTATATTGTTAAGTCGGGTTGCTTTTATAGGCTAGCATTCCTGATGCGAAAAAGAAACTCAAATATAGCGTTATATTTGCTTCAAGAGACTTGATAAACTGATACCCGGGGTGTATCTTTCAAGAATAGACTCACTTGGCACATTTCTAAGCTATTTTGGGGCAATTCTAGCGGCCACGTGGTGCCCTCGCACACCTTGACACATCTATGCAAATTCGGAGCCCTCGATGTTGCCAGGGGTGAACTTTGCATAAAGGGGAGTGCCGTGTTTGTCTGATAAAAAATCCCGATGCTATTTCGAGCATGATTTCTTATTTTAGACATTTTTTGCGATTTTTTCCTGCCATTCAGAAAATTCGTATTTAATGACCAGTGGAAAAAGACCGCTTCGCGGCCGTTTTCCACTGGACCCCGTCCAGGAACCATGAATTTGAATAGCTTCTTTTTAGACTGCGGCGCAATAACCTGAGTCAGACCATTCTTTGGCCTGCGGCGCCAGAGCCCGGGTAAAGGACCCATCTTTGGCCTGCGGCGCGAGATCCTGGACCAAGAGTCGGAAGACGGAAGGGTCTGAAATGCAGACAAAGATCGATAGCCCAAAATCTGCTTCAAGTGGATGTGCCGAAGTGAAGCGCCTTCGAAATGTCGACTTGTGAACGCTATATGCTACAAGAAATTTACGAGACTTTAACTATCAGTTTTCAAAGATTGGGACCGTTGAATCCGGTTCAGGCCGGATAAACCAGAACAAACTAAATTACGGACCAAAAACGGTAAAATCGCATAGATTGCCCACATTTGTGAGGAATTTGGTGCTTCGAAGCGGGTCCGGAAGATAGGGTGCGCTAGTTTTAAGGGAAAATTAAATAACGCAACTGTGAGCGGAGATTATTTTTGGGTTACTATTGGATTTTGGAGATTATGGAGGAGCCTCGTTATGCCGCAGATGCCTCGTTTTTCGAGGAGGCGGGATTGCCTTAATGGAAAATGGGAAACAGCCAAAATGACGACATTCGAAATGACGACAGCCAAAATGACGACAGCCAGAATAGCGACAGCCAGAATGACGACAGCCAGAATAGCGACAGCCAAAATGACGACATTCGAAATAGCGACAGCCAAAATGACGACAGCCAAAATAGCGACAGCCAAAATGACGACAGCCAGAATAGCGACAGCCAAAATGACGACAGCCAGAATAGCGACAGCCAAAATGACGACATTCGAAATAGCGACAGCCAAAATGACGACAGCCAAAATAGCGACAGCCAAAATGACGACAGCCAGAATAGCGACAGCCAAAATGACGACAGCCAGAATAGCGACAGCCAAAATGACGACAGCCAAAATGGCGACATTCAAAATGACGACATGCAAAAATTTGATTTTTCCCAGCTATTATGGCTGATTTTGCATGTCGCCATTTTGAATGTCGCCATTTTGGCTGTCGCTATTCTGGCTGTCGTCATTTTGGCTGTCGTCATTTTGAATGTCGCCATTTTGGCTGTCGCTATTCTGGCTGTCGTCATTTTGGCTGTCGTCATTTTGAATGTCGCCATTTTGGCTGTCGCTATTCTGGCTGTCGTCATTATGGCTGTCGTCATTCTGGCTGTCGCTATTCTGGCTGTCGTCATTATGGCTGTCGCTATTCTGGCTGTCGCTATTCTGGCTGTCGTCATTTTGGCTGTCGTCATTTTGAATGTCGCCATTTTGGCTGTCGCTATTCTGGCTGTCGTCATTTTGGCTGTCGTCATTTCGAATGTCGTCATTTTGGCCGGAAATCTTCTTCTTAGCTTTTTGCCAGCTAAGAATCCCACCACAAGCTTGTTAAGAATAACAGCCATCTACACAGCCCACGCTGACTTTCCGAAAATTTACATGGAGCAACGCCGTGCCACCCATCAATGTTCTGCAATGCGCAAAAAATACGGATCTGGCCTTTCCGGGGCTTGCGCTGTTCATTCGCGTTCCTCCCCACATCGAATTTTCGGGCTGCCTGTGCAAATGCTGAATCCGAGAGCTCAAGTGCACTTCTCCGCTTCGCACGCAATTTTGAGCTCTTTCCAGCATATTTTTCGAAATGTCATCCCAGTATGTGGCTAAGCTAAAGTTCACCATTTCATCTGTGCCCCTGGCCGCCCCCCGGCACCCCTTGATACGACGCAAACAGATCGTAATGTCGGCTTTGGGGGCATTTGGCGTCTGCCACTATAAAACAAGGCCATGGTTTCTGACAGTATCAAATCCCCATCTACCACTACAAACAATCAAGCAACATGCAAGCTTACTTTGCTTTCATCGCCCTCCTCGGCTTCATCTGCCAACAGGTAAGCTGGGCTCAAGCAGCTATTAGGCTTAGACTTGGGCTGAGCTTAGGCTTAGGTTTAGGATCCGGCTCAGGCTTAGGCTGTGCTTAGGCTCAGGCTTAGGCTTGAGCTTTCTCTTACAATTAGGCTAAAGCTTGGGCATAGGCATAGGCTCCTTAGGCTTAGTCTTAGGTTTGACTTAGGCTTACATGTAGCAAGTTCAATTTTACAGGCCTTCGCCGCCGACTGCGCAACAAAGCCCGCCACCTCTCCACTCGTGGAAATCGGACGTAATAATTCACATCAAATTGCCCATTTCAAAAATTTTAGCTGCCATCGACGGTGTGTGTCCTACCGGCCTTACCTGCTACATCAGGAGCGGCACAAACTACTGCTATGGGGTACGGTAGAGAGACAGGGGGAGAGTGAGAAAGGGGGAGAGAGCGAGAGAGAGAGAGAGAGAGCAAGAGAGAGAAATCCAGCGAGGTAGAGGGAAAAAGAGAGAACGCTAGGGAGAGGCAGTAGAATTTTTTAATTTTCCGAAACCTTATTTTTCCAGACCGCTCCCATCACTGACTGCACCGACAAGAATTCCAAGTATGATTTTCCGTCTTAAAGCACCCGCTTTAGCTTCTGCCTTTCCGATACACTCATTAACGTCAATTTTTAGCTGTGCCACCTGGATCTCGAACGGCTTCTGCAAGAACCCAGCCTACACCGACGTCGTAGCTCAATACTGCCCGAAAGGATGCAAGCTCTGCACCGCCCCTGCTCCGTGTGTCGACCTCAACTCCAAGTGAGTTATCCCTCTTTCTTTCTCTCTCTCTCTCTCTCTCTCTCTCTCTCTCTCTCTCTCTCTTTCTCTCTCTATACGAATTCTTTCTAGCTGCAAGACGTGGGTGGCCAACAACTTCTGCACCAACCCCGCCTACGCTAACGTCAAGAATGACTACTGCCCCAAGTCGTGCGGCGGATGCTAAGGAATCGAACCATAACGGCTTCACTAATAATAATAATATTTTTAATGATGTTTTGTTTTAATGGTAATCTAGTTTTTATGGGGGTGTAATAAACAAATTGGGAAAGTTTGTGCAATTACAGAAAATGAAGGTAAACGACAAAGAGATTACGATTTCTTTTCCGCTGTCAAGCTCAGGTTTTCGTGTCATGCTTCTCAACGGAAAATACCAGTTATTGAGGTCAAGCTTCATACCATGCCTGGTTTGCCTGATGATTCAGCGTTTTGGTGATCCTTCAGAAGCACTTGAGGTAAGCTGGAGTAGAAAACGGACAACGGGCTCATCGATGATTTTTAGGTTTCGCGCTTGGAATGATTTTATAAGTTTTCAATAGTGGTTAGTGATTATAGGGTATAATGAATAATGTGGTCGTTTGATCGAGTTAATATGTGATTATGGCTCATCCTCGTTGATCTTATAGGCTTTATGATATTTTTTGGTTCTGGCATTCAATGGTGCATTTCATTGAATATGTACGTATCTTACCTTATATAATTTTGGTGCGTATGTGTGTGTGTGTGTGTGTGTGTGTGTGTGTGGATGTCACTTTCGAGGCCTGATTTGAGGGGCTTCCCGTGCATAAAATGCCCTAATTCTCCGTCACCCGGGGGAATCGACCCTTCTGTTCTTCTTTCAAGAATAGACTCACTTGGCACATTTCTAAGCTATTTTGGGGCAATTCTAGCGGCCACGTGGTGCCCTCGCACACCTTGACACATCTATGCAAATTCGGAGCCCTCGATGTTGCCAGGGGTGAACTTTGCATAAAGGGGAGTGCCGTGTTTGTCTGATAAAAAATCCCGATGCTATTTCGAGCATGATTTCTTATTTTAGACATTTTTTGCGATTTTTTCCTGCCATTCAGAAAATTCGTATTTAATGACCAGTGGAAAAAGACCGCTTCGCGGCCGTTTTCCACTGGACGCCGTCCAGGAACCATGAATTTGAATAGCTTCTTTTTAGACTGCGGCGCAATAACCTGAGTCAGACCATTCTTTGGCCTGCGGCGCCAGAGCCCGGGTAAAGGACCCATCTTTGGCCTGCGGCGCGAGATCCTGGACCAAGAACCTTTTCTTGGGCCTGCGGCGCTAGAGCGAAGGCCAGGCCTAAATCCCCAGCACCTCCGACAGGCAGGCCTTCAGGCCACTTTACAAAATTCAACTTTTGAGGTGGAAGCTGGTCGAATTTTGTGAAAATAATATGATGTGCGTGATCCTCGCCATTGAATGCCTGAGTGGTCAAAAATACAGGTCAAAATTCGCCATGTGTATTGAGATATGGCCTGGACACCACCGCCCGTGACACGATTTATTAAGGACCTTCCAGAAAAATCCTTATAAAAACTTTATTTTAAAAAATTTTGAAAAATCCGAAAAAATGTATCTGGGGAACTACTTTTCCCATCTACCCTCCAAAAATGAGGCCCCAATTCCCTCTAGGCGCTGAGAAAACTTCCGGACAACGCGGCAGAAACCCATTTTGTTAAGGAATTTTTACTTTTTTGCTTATAAAATCGTTAAATGAAAGTATTTCGTAAAACAAAAAAATGCATCACTGACAAATGTGTTTCTCCACCTCCATGCCAAAAATCAGCTCGAAATTCGGCCTGACGGCCGAGAAATCGGCTGTACAGAAAACAAACATACTTTTCTCGCTTATAGGATAGGATATTTTGCATTTCTGATCAAAAGCTTTATTACTCAAAAATTGAAAAATCTTATTAAATGGCCTGAGAATATATTATAAGATCCCTCAAGACGACATGTATTTTAGCAGAGGTTGCACGACTTGGGGCAGTACTGCTTGATCTGCTCCGGGGTGTAGATGGTGCTGTGGCAGAAGTTGTTGGTCACCCAGGTTTTGCAGCTGAAAAGAATTTGATGAGAAAGAGAGTGAGAGTGAGAATGAGAGTAAGCAAGAGAGAGACAGAGCGAGACAGAGAGGGAGAGAGGGAGCGAGAAAGATTAATCCCTACTTGGTGCTCGTATCCTTGCAGTCACCGTCAGTCGGGCACTTTCCGCAGGTCTGGGCGCAGTAGTCGAACACCTGGGACTCGTAGAAGGGGTTTGTGCAGAAGCCGTTCGTCTTCCAGTTGGCGCAGCTGAAAAAGGGAAGTAATATAAAGACATTTTGGCGTAAGCTACTAGATTTTTGTGCAAAATTCAAGCTTACTTTGTGCTGTTGTCGCGGCAGACGACCGGGGTAGACTTGGGCTAAAATGGTGATTTACCGGGGTAATTTTTAAACTATGAAGGAGCACTGAAATCTGGGGAAAGATTCTCCAAATCTTACCCCGAAGCACTGCTGCTCGCCGTCAGTTGTGGTGTAGCAGGTTTGTCCAGCCGGGCAGTTACCGTCAGTGGAAGCTAAAAAGTCTATAGAAATCCTCTAAAAACGCCCTACGTCCTCCAGCGACGACGTTGGAGCCGGCGGGCGGGCCGGCTGGGCAGTCGGCGGCGAGGGCCTGAAATTGGGTTTAGGCTTAGGCTTAGGCTTAGGCTTGGAATAGGCTTGGCTTAAGCTTAAACATAGGTTTACACCTAGGCTTAGGCTTAGGCTCAGGCTTGGGCTTAGGTTCGGCATAGGCCTAAACTTGACGCTAGGCTTAGGTTTGTCTTAAGCTTAAGCTTTGTTAAGACTTAGGCTTAAGCTTAGGCTTAGGCTTTGGCGGAGGCCTAGGCTTAGGCTTAGGCTTGGGTTTCAGCTTGGGCTGGGGATTAGGCTTAGGCTTGGCTTAAGCCATAAGCCCTTCAGGTCTTCCGAAGCACTACCTGGTGACAGGCGAAGCCAAGAAGAGCAAGGAAGACAGCGGTAGAAGCCTGCATTTCGGAGGTAGACCGGATGAATTGGATATCAAGTGCTAATCCTCACACCTATTTATACAACCCGAAAACCATACCAAGCCCACGCTGACCTTCAGCATATTTGCCTCCGTCCCAGTGCGGTGCCGCCCTCAAACGCTGCGGAATTTGCAAAATTGCCGGATTGGCCTTTCGAAGTGAACTGCTCTTTCGCGCCCCGGCCCACGTCGAATTTTTGAAGCTGCTGTGCAAATGGTGGGTGCGCGGGGGCTAAAGCGCACTTTGCGGTGTTGAAAGCGATTGCCGAGATCGAGACTGACTGGCGTGGGCGGAATACGGTAACATGGCATTAGGCGTGTTTCCGAGCGAGAACTTTGCAGTGTGGCTTTTGAAGGGGAGAATGAGATTGCCGCATTAAAAACCACCACACACCCACCGACCCCCTGGAAAGAAAATTCCCCCCCCCCTCCCCCCCGCGGCGCCCCCCCCCCCCCTTTTTTTTTTCTCCCTTTTTTTTGGGGGGGCCCCACCCTCCCCCCCTTGGATGATAACTGAAAACTGAGGTGCTATTCAGCAGGTTGAAGGGAAGCTAGTACAGACCTTTGAGGAATTCGGAGAATCCTATTAAGTTCATAAAGGAGACTAATTGTGAGCACTGGTGCGACTAAATTAGGGTTGTTCAAAAATTGACTTAACTGACGTTCAAAAAGTTAAATGAGGCCTTAAAAATACTAAACTGGCTCAGATAACGATATTTTAACTGAATTTAACTAGATGATTTATGGTTGAGCCTCATTTTTGCCTGCCTTGGAAAACGCTGGGCAGGTAAGGGTTCGAGATTTGGAGGTCCAGCTCAAAATAATTGCTGATGAATTATCACCCCAGCCCCGACCCCCAAAACCAACATTCCCTTAACTCTAAGAATCCAGACAAATCAACGCCAGTACGTTACTTTCCACCTGCTCCTACTACCATCCTGGATATGGATAAGCCAAAGTTCACCGCCTCAATTGTCCCCCGGCCGCCCCTGGCACCCCTTGATACAGTGCAAACAGACCGTAATGTCGGTGTTGGGCGGATTTTTGCAAGCTACTACTATAAAACAAGGGTCTGGTTTCCGAAAAGTATCTAATCCTCATCTAACACTCGAACATCATGCAAGCCTGCTTCGCCCTCTTCGCACTCCTCGGCTTCATTTGCCAACAGGTAAGTTGTACTCATGAAGCTTGGGCTTACGCTTAGGGACGGGCTTGCACTTCGATATTTTTGCAGACGCGAAAAATAATAAATTATCACTTTCCAGACCCTGGCAGCAACGTGCCCAACCAAGCCCGCCACGTCGTCGCTCGTCGAAATTGGACGTAAGTTAATTCCTGCGCATTTTATCAACTAGCAAAACGGGAAGTAAAAGGACAAAACCCTATTTAAATTGCTCTGGTTTTACTCTGTATCCTTAGAAAATCTGAATGTTTTAGCGGCTCCCTGTCCCGACGGACTGACCTGATATATCCGAAAGGATGGTGATGCTGCTTGCTTTGGGGTACGGTAATACATAATCAGGGAGAGAGATAGAGAGCAGAAAGAGCGAGCGAGAGAATGGGAGGGAGAGACAGAGAGTGAGAGAATCATAGTTTCCATAATAAACTATACTTTTCCAGCCCGCCCCGATCACCGACTGCACCGACAAGAACTCCAAGTATGGTTTTCGATGCTAAAGGCTCAGATTAAAAATTTTTCCTCTTCGGTATAATCAATCAAATTATGTTTTAGCTGCGCCACTTGGATCTCGAATGGCTTCTGCAAGAACCCGGCCTACACCGATGTCGTAGCCCAGTACTGCCCGTAAGGATGCAAGCTCTGCACCGCCCCTGCTCCGTGTGTCGACCTCAACTCCAAGTGAGCGTCTCTCTCCCCCCTCTCTCCCTCCCTCTCTCTCTCTCTCTCTCTCTCACTATCTCTCTCTCTCTACACCAATCCTTCCCAGCTGCAAGTCCTGGGTGGCCAACAACTTCTGCACTAGCCCCGCCTACGCTACCGTCAAGAACGACTACTGCCCCAAGTCGTGCGGAGGATGCTAGAGAAATGACTTCTACGGATACTAATAATACCACTATTAATATTTTTCATTCATTTGTGTATTGATGGGCGTGTAATAAATGTCTTTTGAATTTGAACAAACGGCAAAAGAAAGCAAAAGCATCGGATTTACCTACGGAAGGGTCTGAAATGCAGACAAAGATCGATAGCCCAAAATCTGCTTCAAGTGGATGTGCCGAAGTGAAGCGCCTTCGAAATGTCGACTTGTGAACGCTATATGCTACAAGAAATTTACGAGACTTTAACTATCAGTTTTCAAAGATTGGGACCGTTGAATCCGGTTCAGGCCGGATAAACCAGAACAAACTAAATTACGGGCCAAAACGGTAAAATCGCATAGACTGCCCACATTTGTGAGGAATTTGGTGCTTCGAAGCGGGTCAGGAAGATAGGGTGCGCTAGTTTTAAGGGAAAATTAAATAACGCAACTGTGAGCGGAGATTATTTTTGGGTTACTATTGGATTTTGGAGATTATGGAGGAGCCTCGTTATGCCGCAGATGCCTCGTTTTTCGAGGAGGCGGGATTGCCTTAATGGAAAATGGGAAACAGCCAAAATGACGACATTCGAAATGACGACAGCCAAAATGACGACAGCCAGAATAGCGACAGCCAGAATGACGACAGCCAGAATAGCGACAGCCAAAATGACGACATTCGAAATAGCGACAGCCAAAATGACGACAGCCAAAATAGCGACAGCCAAAATGACGACAGCCAGAATAGCGACAGCCAAAATGACGACAGCCAGAATAGCGACAGCCAAAATGACGACAGCCAAAATGGCGACATTCAAAATGACGACATGCAAAAATTTGATTTTTCCCAGCTATTACAGGGTGTCCCAAAAAAAAAGCACCCCCCTCTAGCGACGCGCAGTCGTGTCCGATTTTTATCGTTTAGGTATCTATCGAAAGCTCTTGAAAAGGCGAGCAAACAAGGAGGGTTCATTTTCTTTATTATCTATTTTTATTAGCAAATTTTACGTCCAAAAACCATGAAAACGGCAGATTTACGCGAGATCTGCATGCTAATCGCGAAATTCCTATTGAAAATCTACCTGTTTTTTAGAAAAACGTTGAATATCCAGCGTATAAAAATAAATCTCATAAAATAAATCCCGCTTGTTTTCTCGCCTTTCCGAGAGCTTTCGAATGGTATAAAAATTATCCCGATCTGAGCTTCCCCCGGACCGCTAGAGGGGGGTGCTTTTTTTTTGGGACACCCAGTATGGCTGATTTTGCATGTCGCCATTTTGAATGTCGTCATTTTGAATGTCGCCATTTTGGCTGTCGCTATTCTGGCTGTCGTCATTTTGGCTGTCGTCATTTCGAATGTCGTCATTTTGGCCGGAAATCTTCTTCTTAGCTTTTTGCCAGCTAAGAATCCCACCACAAGCTTGTTAAGAATAACAGCCATCTACACAGCCCACGCTGACTTTCCGAAAATTTACATGGAGCAACGCCGTGCCACCCATCAATGTTCTGCAATGCGCAAAAAATACGGATCTGGCCTTTCCGGGGCTTGCGCTGTTCATTCGCGTTCCTCCCCACATCGAATTTTCGGGCTGCCTGTGCAAATGCTGAATCCGAGAGCTCAAGTGCACTTCTCCGCTTCGCACGCAATTTTGAGCTCTTTCCAGCATATTTTTCGAAATGTCATCCCAGTATGTGGCTAAGCTAAAGTTCACCATTTCATCTGTGCCCCTGGCCGCCCCCGGCACCCCTTGATACGACGCAAACAGATCGTAATGTCGGCTTTGGGGGCATTTGGCGTCTGCCACTATAAAACAAGGCCATGGTTTCTGACAGTATCAAATCCCCCATCTACCACTACAAACAATCAAGCAACATGCAAGCTTACTTTGCTTTCATCGCCCTCCTCGGCTTCATCTGCCAACAGGTAAGCTGGGCTCAAGCAGCTATTAGGCTTAGACTTGGGCTGAGCTTAGGCTTAGGTTTAGGATCCGGCTCAGGCTTAGGCTGTGCTTAGGCTCAGGCTTAGGCTTGAGCTTTCTCTTACAATTAGGCTAAAGCTTGGGCATAGGCATAGGCTCCTTAGGCTTAGTCTTAGGTTTGACTTAGGCTTACATGTAGCAAGTTCAATTTTACAGGCCTTCGCCGCCGACTGCGCAACAAAGCCCGCCACCTCTCCACTCGTGGAAATCGGACGTAATAATTCACATCAAATTGCCCATTTCAAAAATTTTAGCTGCCATCGACGGTGTGTGTCCTACCGGCCTTACCTGCTACATCAGGAGCGGCACAAACTACTGCTATGGGGTACGGTAGAGAGACAGGGGAGAGAGTGAGAGAGGGGGAGAGAGCGAGAGAGAGCGAGAGAGAGAGAAATCTAGAGAGGGCGGGGAAAAAGAGAGAGCTAGATATAGAGGGCAGTAGAATTTTTCAATTTTCCGAAACCTGATTTTTCCAGACCGCTCCCATCACTGACTGCACCGACAAGAACTCCAAGTACGATGTTCCGTCTTAAAGCACCCGCTTTAGCTTCTGCCTTTCCGCTACATTTATTGACGCCAATTTTTTAGCTGTGCCACCTGGATCTCAAACGGCTTCTGCAAGAACCCGGCCTACACCGATGTCGTAGCACAGTACTGCCCTAAAGGCTGCAAACTCTGCACTGCTCCGGCACCGTGCGTTGACCTCAACTCCAAGTAGGTATAACTTGCTCTCTCTCTTTCTCTCTCTTTCTCTCTCTTTCTCTCTATCTCTTTCCTTCTAGCTCTCGCTCTCTTTGCTACCAATCCATTCCAGCTGCAAGACGTGGGTGGCCAACAACTTCTGCACCAACCCCGCCTACGATACCGTCAAGAATGACTACTGTCCCAAGTCGTGCGGCGGATGCTAAGGAATCGAACCATAACGGCTTAACTAATAATAATAATAATAATAATATTTTTAATGATGTTTTGTTTTAATGGTAATCTAATTTATATGGGGTTGCAATAAACAAATTGGGAAAGTTTGTGCAATTACCAAAAATGAAGGAAAACGCCAAACAGATTCTGAATTCTTTTTCCGTTGTCAAACTCAGGTTTTCGTGTCATGCTTCTTCTCAACGGAAAATACCAGTTATTGAGGTCAAGCTTCATACCACGCCCAGCTTGCCTGATGATTCAGCTTTTTCGGTGGTCCTTCAGAAGCTCTTGAGATGGTCTCGAAAAGCTGGAAGAAAACGAGCTTGATCGACACCCTCCCGCTTTCGCTATTAAAAATTTTATCGCCATATCGGTCGATCAGATCCAGGGTTTCCATTCGCTGAGTAAAACATTTTTCGTGTTTTTTTGTGTAAGAGGCTAGATTTACAAGATTTATTTCGGAAACCGGTGAAATTATGGTTTGGTATGTTTTTTGATGCATTCCGTGACGTCCTTTGGATCCCAAGTCAACGTCGCCATTAATGCATAGATATACTAAAAAATTCCTTCATAGTGCCTTTAAAATTTCGAAAGAAATGCATGACTCATGCTCATCCTCCGATCCCACGACGGCTCGTTGACCTCGCTTCGATCCTTCAACAGAGCGTTGCTGCACTTCCTGGATTTCCCTTTCCAAAGCGTGCAAATATGCCCCGAGGGCACGGGGCACGGGCAACTATTGGCAAATCCATTCTTTCAGGCAAGTCCAATGATTTTGAGGACATTTTCGACATGCATTTTACTCCTAACTTCCTATTTGGTTTATGGCGACGAAAAATGTGACCTTGGTGCTGTTGATGTAAGGATTCGGCATTTTCAATATTTATAAACAATAACTAAGAGCGCTATGCCATTTTAAGAAGCAAGCAAAAATTATTAGGAGTGTTTTCTAACTCTAAAAAACATTATTTTAGCTAATTTTCTTGCTACAATCCCGCTACGACTTGCCGGAGCCCGGGTTCCTCCAGATGAAGGTGTTCATCAAGAATTTTATTGCTACGATCGATATGGGCAGGGATACGCAGGTAACTAGTAACAAATAGTATCCAGTTTGTGAATATGAAGAACACCAGAATCGGCGTCATGACTTACGATGGCTTAAACGAACCGGAATACAAAATCCACCTCAGCTCCTACGGTAGAGCCAGTGATGCGTCGATTGCCATTGATCAGGTAGAAAATTAAAGCTGTTTTGTACGTTTATAAGGTTTTCATGAAAAGATAATAAAAGTATGTGCACCATACTTTCTAAGCAATCGCAAAGAATTCACTAAAAGTTTTGTATTCAGATTGGCCGAAGTCCCTGCGGGTCCTGGTGCGCCGAGAAAGCTGACTTATCGGTTGCACAGGTAAATTCAATGGTTTTGAAGTCTTTGTAATTCATCAGTTTCAGGCTTATTTCAGTTAGTATCTTTACTAAGAAATCTATAAAATTTAAAATGCATTTTAGGCAGCACAAAAAGCCATCGAAATCTTTGGCAAAGAAACGGCAACTGGAAGGATGAAGAAAATTGTGGTGATTCGGCACGGGCAGCAAGATCATATGGTAATTAATATACCATGAAGTTATCAGATTTTGACCCTCTATGCCTTTAAGAATATATTTAGCAATCCGAGCAGCTACGACAACTCACGCAAAGTGATGCCTGGCTCAAGGTTGAGGAGATTTTGATACATACTGGTAAGTTTTGAATAACCGTAAAAGGGCAAGCTAGCAGCGATCTTTAGGGAAAACTTGTTGGCAAGAGCAAAGATGATTTAGGAACTGAAGATATCTTTCTCCTTTAGGAACGATGGCGATGGACGACCCCTACGGTCAATATCTCAACGCGTACTACCAGCCGTATGAACGGTATCTCGGGCGCATGCACCAAATGTTCCCCAATGCTACGTTTCGCGACTTTAGACGCCAATACAATGCTGATACGTTCAAATTGCTCTACGACAAAAACGTGGATAATGGATTGATCACGGTCAAGGAGTAAGTAGACTTAGGCTTTGGCTTAGGTTTAGGCTAGGCTGAGGCTTAGGCTTAAGCCTAGGCTTAGGCTTAGGCTTAGGCTTGGGCTTAGGCTTAGGCTTAGGCTTAGGTTTAGGCTTAGGCTTAGGCTTAGGCTTAGGCTTAGGCTTAGGCTTAGGTTTAGGCCTAGGCTTATCCCCAAATTTTAGCTTCTCCCAACTCGCCACCCTCGGCCCGGACCTCTGCGCAGAAATTTTCAGCTGCCCACCCTGCGATGGAACTTCCGCTTCAACCTTGAATTCCAGCCCAAATGTATGTATTTTGGCTTGTAGCTATTTCAGCTATAAATTTAGACCTTCCTGGAAACTAGCAACTCGGGTGATGCAAATAGGAAGGAGACACCGAATGAGTCGTCAGTTCCGAACCTTGGTGGCACAACCTCAACAAAAGCCGATGCTAAAAACGGAGACTATGAATATGAGATTGTCGGGGATCCTCCAGGATGTGAGTTTTACGTAAAAAAGTGTAAATTGAAAAACCTTTTGGAAAGACAAGTCAGAAAATCGCAAAAAAACCCCGTAAAAACTCAGAATCTAGTATACTTCGTCGTCCCCCGGGGATCCCCCGGAGGGGATGGTGGGGGACCGTCTGGGGGGATGGTGGGGGACCAACTGGGGTAGGGGGATCCCCTCCCCTCCCCCTCCCCCTCGCCCTCCCCTCCCCCCCCCCCAGTTTTTCTGGCACCCGTAATAGGCAATTAGTAAAGTACAGCCGGTACAGCCGGATGGAAAGAGTGGGCAGAGGGAGAGGCGCAGACATTTTTCTTGCGTCTCTGCCCCTTTCCATATAATCTCGAAACGGCTGTACCGCTGGCTCTGTTCTGGAAATGACGAAAATTCTGGTCGAGCTCGTCCGACAAAACAATACCAGAAAGCTCTGATTTACCTGACAGAGAATCGATGGAAAATCCGAGTGTATACCAACCCAAAATTTTAAATAATTGAAAGGCTGGGCACTCAAATCTTTGAGACTGTAAAAATTTGAAAATTAGAGCAAATTAGCTCGTTGGGGCTCTCGGCATTTCAGAACTTTCGACAACCACATGCTGCTGTATTTTAAATTATCAAAAATAGCAGCTCTTTAACAAGTATTGAGATCTATCTAACCACACATTGCGCGCACTTGCGAGTCGGGGGATCCCCTGGTCCCCTAGTGGGGATCCCCGGGGGGGACGACGAAGTATAGAATCTAGGCTCGTGAGTTCGGCAGGTTTATAAGAGTTTCTTTTTCAAAGTGTGTGGTTTTGCTACACTTTTTAATGCTGTTTGGCGGACTGAGGAATTTTCGCTAAAATCACAGCGTAAAAACATCCTGCAGAACCATGCATCCACTTTTAGTAACCATCAACTCGAGCCCCGCCTCCAAGAAACAGAAAAAGGATGCCGTCTCCGCGAATGAAACCCCAGAGTATGAATTGGAAGAGGAAGAAGAAGCAGGGGAACCTGTCGAAACTGATCAGCTTTCTGATGAAGATAGTCTACAAAAGAAAAAGAAAAAGAAACTGTTCAAGAAACATCGAACGAAAAGACAGGCGATTTTGCGTCAAGTTCAATGCGTTTGCCCAAGGGATGGAGGTAGGAGAATGAGAAGCAAAAAATGAATTAAACAAAAACAACGACATTAAAAATAACATTGAAATGTCAAAACGATCGTTTTTAGGAAGTTCTGCCTCTGCTGGAGGCTGCTCTGAGGGTCCGAGCGGCCCAGGAGGCGGCTGCTAAGGGCCAAGTTCTGAATACCCGGGTCTACAGTATAATTACGATCCCGAGGGTGGAGTAGGTAAGTAAATGGTCTTGAGCTTATGTTAGGCTTAGACATAGGTATAAACTTAATTTTGGGTTTAGACTAGGCTTATGTCTAGCTTAGGCTTCGTTCCAGTAGCCCTGAAACGAAAAAACTTTTTAGGCCCTCCAGCCCCTGCTTCTCCTTGTGGAGCCGCTCCCTGTGCTGCTCAACCTCCTTGCGAATCGTCGTACTGTGGTTACGGTAGTTATGGTGCATTTTATCAGGGAAGCCATGAAAGATTTTTTTTAGCTTCAAGCTACAACTCCCCGTGTGGTGGTTGCCCTAGCCAAACGGCTCAATACTACTCTCCCTGTTCGAATGGATGTTCTGGAGTTCAGGTGGGGGTTTTTTTATGGTTTTTCGTCTTTGCGCTATCCCTTTAAACCGTCTAACCGGTAGCGATTGATTGATATTTTCATTCAATTAGGTTATTATCGCTTTTTAGGGCTGGTACTACCCCTATGATCGAACTCCACTGGCCCCGGGGATCCCGGAAGCTACTGCGTTTAGTTCGGATGAGAAGAAGACGGAAACCGCACCGAAAACCTTGGCTCCTCTGGACCCACTTCCGGGGATTGGAGCCGAAGCTTCAAGTCGGTTTTTGAGGTTTATTAGCTTGCAATGTCTTGAAATCAAAACAATTGTTCATTTCCAAAATGCATTAATTTCAACCAAAGTATTCGGTGAAATTATTAAACCTGCTGCCTGTCAAAAACATAATATTAGAAACTACTTAAGAAGCCATTAGCCCATGCGAAGCTGTTTTCAAGCTCTAATTGTCTGTAAATTGAGTACCTTCTCCCACTATTATTAATTTCATTATCGTAGTTTTCAGCATCCAGCTCGGAGCTGACCGACACGTTCAACTCCATGTTCAAAAACACGGATACAGATGCCGCAAAAACACCGGTACCAGCAAGTGAAAATACGGACTCGGATTCGGAAGCAGTCGCTAAATCTGTAGATGAGGTCCGTTTTTTGTAGTATTTTTCTATTATATTTTTAGTTAACTTCGACGACAAATCCTTACGCTAAGCTAAGAGACGTCATCAATCAAATGAAGCCGATTCAGAAGCGTAGGCTGATACCGTAGCTCTGAAAACATCAACTTTTTTCAGGAAATCAGATCCCGTTTAGTATCTCGATTTTCGAGGATCCGAATGTGAAAATGCCCAAATTTGATAATTTGCTTACAAATATTGCATCGGCAAAGAGCTATGAGGATTATTTGAAGGGAGAAGGTGAGGGAGTGAGAGAGCGATAGAGGGAGAAATAGAGAGAGCTAATGAGAGAGAGAGTGAGGGAGAGAGAGAAAGAGAGAGGGCGAGAGAGCGAGAGAGAGAGAGGGGCGAAACGAAGTAAGGTAATTTTTTTAGATCATTCCACAATGTTTCCGACTATTGCTACCTTACGCCCATCCACTTACGCTCCAAATACCTCTGTCCAACGCTTTGTTCACAAAATCCGAAAACCGAACTATGCGAAACACTTCAAGAGGAAAATGGCTGCTTCCCCGTTGGAACAGGGCCTGGAGGATATTCCTGATCCGAATTCGAGTGCGTTTTAAGTTTAAGCGCTATTTTTGGACGTTCTCTTGTATTTTTAAAGTTGGTATTGTGTTTCCGAGTCGGAGTTTGTAGAGCCTGGGTCTTGAAAGTGCGCGGTTTTCAGAAAACTCGATAAAAATCCCGCCTCCAACGGAAAAGCTACTAATTGAGGATGAAGAGCTTGGGAAGAAAAAAGTCGCTAATGCCCTGGAAAAGGTAATGTGGTGATTTTTATGGTAAAATAAATTGTTTTTAGAAGTTGCGACGAGCCCGATTTTATTGACTTCAATTGTGTTCTTTACTTAGTTATGTGTATGATAAATTATTGAGTATAATAACACGTCTTTTTTAACGTTTATAAACATTGAATGGCAAGACCGGAAGTGGACCCAAAAACATATTTTGTTTTGTAAATTCTGGTCTATGTGCGTTCTTTAGTTTGCGATTTCTTTCGAAACAATTGCAGAAGATGAAACATTCCGGCAGACTATTCTCGGGATGCAGACTATTTTTGTAGCCCCAGGGCATAATTGCGCAATGTGGCCCCTGGGCGGGTTATCATTGGAGGACTTCGGCAGGGCGGTGACCTCAGATCATCTGGATCCCATCTGCAGATAAGGCCGAGGTTCGAGCAGAGTTACGCCATTTACGATCCGACCTCTCGCATGACCCAACCTCCAGACAAACATTCTAACATCATTCTCTCATTTCTTAGCTAGAGTCGAATACCATATCACCATTTTTTGTTAGACATTCGAGGCCTCCAAAACTTAAAATTCGATTTTTGCCTGCCTAATGCATCTAAAATTGGTTAATATGCCGCCACTGTATGATTCTCTCTCTCGCTCCCTTTCTCTCACTCTCTCTCTCTCTCCGTCTCGCTCGTTCAGTCTCACTCTCGTTATCTGCAACTTACAATTTACTTGCGCCTCGAATTCGGCTGCGAGGTTTTACGAATTAATACTTTAATTCATATCTTCTTATCCCCAATTTTTAGCCAAATGCGGATATTCTACCTCCTCCCCTTGGCCCTCTGCGCTGTCGCATCCGCCATCGAGTACGAGAAGCCGAAGCTCGTCTCGGGGCGCCTGCTGACCCAACGGACGTCGAAGGGTGGAATGTAAGTAGTGGAGCGTAGTGTGACCATTCGGAATCTAGACATTTTGGCTCGAGTGTATCACAGTGAAACCATATGCTCGGATGTAGCACGTAGAATCCCGTAAGACCGTACTGTCTTGTAGTGTGTATCGTGGTCTAGTAACACCACATCTCGGAGTAGTTTGCAGCGTCTCGTGCAACGCCGTACAATACTTACGAGGCTCCTGCGTATTGTTGCGTAACATCTAATAGTCATAGCACCTTACCGTAGCGTGTAGCATCTCGTGGGCGCAAGGTAATCGTAGGTAATCGACCGAATCTCGTAGTCGTGTCTGGAATCACCGATAGTCCTACCATATCGCAACCTAGTGTAGTATAGTATCCCAGCGTAGCGCACCGTTTAAGCTCAAGACTCGTCTTTTCAGGATCTCCTCCGATAACCAGTGCCTCTATGCAAAATGGTCTTTCACGATGGAAGACGAGGCGAAGGCCCAGATGCTCCGGAAACTTATCCCCCGCTTTTGCGGCATGATCAAGGAGACGAAACGTAAGAAGAGCTTAAAAACTAACCACATTGTATTTAGTATTTTTCGAAGAGTACGAGAACAACACCACTTTCAAGAAGGTCTTCGATTACTCCTCGGAAACGTTGAAGCTGTAAGTTGGTCGAAGGAGAAATAAGCCGCAGCTCAGCCTGAGTTAAGCCCAGCTGCCAGTAACTCCATTTAAATTGCCATAGAATAGATTTTAAAGGGACCGTGACAACTAGGAAAAGCCGTGGTAAACCAAGATAACGGGTCTTTTTTTTAGGAACACCGAACTGTCGATCAACACCACCGTCAACGAGTTCCTAGACAACGTGGATCGTCTGTTCTACCAGCGCAAGTTCCACTTTGATCAAGGAGCTGCTCACCAGGTATTTGTTTGACTTTTTAGCGTTTATAGTATAATTTTTGCAGTCATTCCAACGTCAAAAACCGTTAAAATCGTAAAATTTGAATTTTTAGACCCTGCTGAACGCTGCCGGAATTGCTGAGGACTCCGACTGGGATCTGAAGCATATGTTTACGTGGAAAGTACGTTGAAGCTTAAAATTGCGTTTTAATTAACATTTTAAATAACAAAAATATTCAAATGTATACTTTCAGAGCATCCGCGCTGACGTTCAATATTGTGACGAGACCGATGATACCGTGATGATCGAGCTCTGCGTGCCGACGATGATGGACAAGATTTCGGGAGATGTTTATGAGGTTTGTATAATTCTGTCGCTCTCTCTCTCTCTCTAACTCTCTCTCGCTCTCTCCTCTCTGTCTAGCTCCCTCTCACCCCTCTCTCTCTCTCATTCTCCTTTAAAAACCAGAACTTCAGATGCTCGACAAGGGCGAGTTCACCACCTCCAGCAACGGTACCATCGAGTACAGCTACATGGACATCCCCACTACCGCTATCCAGACCTCCAATGCCGGATACGTCGGCATTGATGAACGTTACTGCAAGGAGATTGTAAGTTCCATTTCCCTAGCTGGGATTTTCTCATTAAACGAACTCAGAAGCGAAACTTTTAGTATACCAAAATTCTCCTCATTTTTAGTTTGACACTGGCCTCCTCTGCAAGGCCACCGGACTCGCCGAATGCCAGCCTATCGGCTTCAAGGGGTGCAACTCGCAGGAACTTATCGTTGAGGAGGGCTTTACTCATGCTAGGAACTTCACTTCTTTCCATCTTGTTGCTACTTTTGAGAAGGTAAGTTAGACGCATTAAGCTTATGCTCAGGCTTAGCTTTAGGCTTAGTCGTACGCTTAGGTCAGGCTTAGGCTTCCGCTTAGGCTTAGGCTTAAGCTTCGTCTTAGGCTTCGGCTTTGGCTTGGGGCTGGTAAGATCAAGTCAATTCGATTTTCCAGAACGCCACCATCGTCGGAACCAACCAGACCTTGGCCCTTGACAAGAACATCTTCCTTCTCGTCGTCGGACGTGGAAAACAAGTCCAAATCGGCAAGACTACGTTCGACAACCTTGATGCTGACATCACGACTACTGAGATCATTAACATTGAAGAGTTGACGAAGGTGGCCGAGCAGGTGAGGAGTGAGAGAAAGAGAGAGAGAGAGAGAGACAAGGTGGGAGAGGTAAGGGATAGATAGAGAGATAAAACATTCGAAAACCACTTCTATCTTGGACCCAGTAGTTTGCCAAAGATCATAACTCGAGGGCCTATTTTTCCTAAATTAATCTGACTACAAATATGATAGATTTGGATATTGATACCAGGTCCAATAACTCCAACCCACACCTAAAAACGGGCAAAGAATTTATTTGCTGTAGACAATGGAGGGTTAGACAATAGCAAGTACCACTATCAGGTACTACACAGATTATTGAGAGCACTGCACTGATTCAACAAGGGTTTTTGATTTATCCGGGGCGTAATTAATGTTATTCTCATTGTGAGTAGATTGGGTCACAAGACTGACATTTTGTTTTGAGTGCAAGAGGCGTAGGGAAAATAGATCGTTGAGCCCAACAAATTTTCCTAAAATAGAGAGAGAGAGAACGATGGAAGTCGAAAATCATAAAAAATTCCATTTTTAGACGCTCAAAACCTCTCCCAACAACAAATCCGGCGGAGGCTTCTTCCGCAACATCTTCAACTTCTTTGGAAATTAAAGGCCGTATTGTTTTCCTTTTCTTTCTTGTTTTAATCGTTTTTGATCTCCAGCCATAATTTTTGTACATTTCGACAATAAAATTTGTTCTTAAGCTTGGAGGGGTACACCAAAAACTCCGGAAATTATATTTTAAGGCCCATTTCTGATTCCTCAGCCTGCGATCGAGGGCAACTGAACCTCATTGCCCTCCGGGTCGATCCATTTCTGAAATTTTTGATCTTCTTTTAACCGTTGCCCTTACTTAGCCTTATACCTTATGAAAATGTTCAAAAATTTAGTAAGAATTCATCAGTTCCTCGGAATTTGCATAGTTTTGCTTTTTAACCTTAATTTCAGAAACTCAGAAACGTTAGTAGATTTTTTGATTTTGCTGCTATATTGAATGGCGCTTAATTAATTTTGTAAAAATATCCAGCTAGCTAACTAGCTTTTCTTTTCGAGATTATTCTGCAAAAGTTATGTTTGAAGGGGTTTTGAAGGGGTCGCCGAAATCGCCAATGAATCAAAAAAGCCCTGACCACTGGCTTCTGGCAGATGAGATAAGCGCCCACGCCACACCCCGCGTCATTCCACATATTTGACATGTCTATCTGAAAACCGGTCTATGCGTTGCTAATACGGGGTAGGTTTACAACCTGAAGGCAGGGTTCGACGCCGTGCCAGTCATCAAAAACGGCCGGGTCATAATTCGAATAGCTAACGGAGGTCCCGTCGAGCCAGGTGATGTCGTACTTGTCGGGCCCTGTCTGAAGTGGCAACGATGTTGTGAAGACGGACAATAATGCCACTGGGGAATATACGGTAAATTCTATTTATTGTCCCCTCGGAAAATACCGACAGTCGAAATCCCGACAGTCACGATCCCGGCTGTTGTCTTTTCAACGCAACCAAAAATATTGAATTGACAAACCCGATTCGCACCGAGCCAGACGTAGGCGAGTTGCGAGTCTTGCCACGGCTTCCAAAGGTCTGCAATATAGGTAAACCCATTAAACACATTTTAGAAACTTACCAAAAACGGCCTGGCTTTCGGCAGCCGAATGCAATATGGGTAGCGTGGCGCCCAGGGTTTGGCAATATGCGATGCCTGTCTTGAAATCGCACATCTGGTTCGCCCACTAAAAAGGTGCTTTTAAAAAAATGCCGGAATTCACAATACCGAAATTCCCAATGTCGAAATTTTACAATGTTGAAATTCCTAACCTGCAGACATTTATCAGTGCCGGTTCCAAGAGTCCAGCCGGCGTCGCAAGATGGCTGAAACAATCCCTCTCTCTCTCTCTCTCTCTCTCTCTCTCTCTCTCTCTCTCTTTCTCGCTCCCTAGGCTCTTTTTTACCGTTGGTGCATCAGGAAGTGGCGTCCCGCAATCACCAATGGAATCTCCGGTAGCAACAGACGCTTCCTCACCATAGCTGCTACCCAGAAACAAATAGTCCGGATCCGGCTCTGTTGCATTATAGGCATGACAAGTCGCATCTAAGATTAGCTAGTCGCCAACAGCCAAACCACGTACCTGTCCCCTTGCAATCATCCCCTATCAAAACACAACGCGAAAAACAGATCGTTTCCGGAAAACCGTAAATTGGATCGTCGCGTTGTACAAAGTAGCTCTGCGGAAAGCAAAGTTTAATAGTTAAAAATAAGAGGGATAGTAGAAGCATGAAGTTCGTTAGTTTCGAATTTCCTTAAATGCATTCTGCTAAAAACAGCAAATTCCCCCGTTGCGACCGTCGTCAAGGTATTGAAAGCACTTAAGGCAATCGTGTTAGGCGGATACACGGAACAATTTCTCGAATGGGGGATGTCTGGGTTCAAAATTGGCTAAAGTTGGTTACTTTAGGCTTCGCTTGGTCTTGGGTTTAGGCCTAGGTTTAGGTTTGGGCCTAGGTTTAGGTTTAGGCTTAGGCTTACAAGGCTTTCTAGGCTGAGGTTTCGCCACTAAGGCAAAGCCTGCAATTTTCTACAGGGTACGCTGGCACACTCTTTATTCAAATCAATTGTCTTCTCTGCCGGTTTTGTCCCAATTTTTGCACCCACCGTAGCCAGTCTTGGCCACAGCACGCCCCAAAGCGTTTTTTGTGCCTGGGGAACAATTGGGCCCCGAAATTACTCGGATTATCCAGACAATCGCTCAGTTTTGGGGGGCATTGTTCGCCTACCAGTCCAAAGAATTAGTAGACGCTTTTTAGCACGTTTTTTACTACATGGCAGTTCGGGGAATGCGCGTAGTTTTTGTACCTTTTATAGTCGTTGCTACGTCGGGGCTGAATCATGGATTGAACGTACAGAGATAAAGGATCAAAAATTGCATCTCAAAACACGATATAAAAGAAAATCGCCAAAAAAAGCATTTTGCATAAATCTCCAAAACGCTATCATTATTTTTACGTTTTTGAAGCCAGTCTGATTTGGCGATTTTCAGCATAGATGATCATTCAAAAATCATCGCAATTAGAACTTTGTAAACCCAGATGCGTTGACTGCATTTGTATAGTTAGCTTTACTACACCCGAAGGTAAATGCTTTATCGCGCAAAAGGAACATTAACATATGGAAATTAACACAAAAATGCTTCAAATATGAATCGACGAAGTATGATCATGGTTCTGGTGCGTAGAAGGCGTAATGGATGGTTTGATGATGCCCATCCGGTACAGCCCGAGCATTCGGCCCACCTGAAAAATCATGCTGTTGCTTTTTCTCGCTATTTGAAAAGTTTAAAAACAGTTTTTAAGGGACAGTGACACAGGTAGAAACATGAAAAGCGAGGCGGATGCGGAGGAGGGGCGCAAACTTTGGGGACGTCGGATCGGAGCGTCGCGTAACGGTAGCCGTGATAGGGAATCGCTTGGACTTGCGGCAGCAGCCAAACGCCACGCGGTATATCTTGGGATTTTTTAGGTTTTTGACCAGTTTTGACTATTCTAGACCTACTACTACGTTTATCTCTACCAGTTTTAGCTTACCATATAACTTAAGTTATCTCCTGCTACGTTTTAAGGGCGCCAGGAAGGCAAAACGGGTCCATCTGGCTTTTTGTTAATTGCATTCGTCAAAATGATATTTTGAGGATCTTTAGCGTTCTTTTTTGTGTCAAACCAGAAGTAAAACAATACTAAACGATTGTTGCCTTCTCAGCCCCCTTTAAAATGCAATTTTCGCTTTCACTGACTTCTCTCTGAATCGTCTTATTCAGGGCGAGGTATACGATGGCCGGGAACCCATGGCCCCACTGCCAGTTGATATGGCCGATCAGGATGAAGAAGTCGGGCGTGGGGAAGAACTGAAATTTGCATACTTAAGCGTTTTTCTTCTTGTTATTTGGTATACAAAAAAAGGATACTAACCTGCATGTAAACATAAATCAGAGCCGCGATCAAGTTTGCCAGGCAGATAAGGGTGGCTTGGATGAAGATCTGAAATGTTTAGGTTGGCCTCGCTTAGGCTTAGGCTTGGCTAGGCTTAGGTTAGGCTTAGGCTTGGGCTTGGCACTGGCGTTACCCACCGATTTCTGGGTCCACGACATCTTGGACGCTGACTCGTCAGTCTTGAATTTGCTGGCCAGAACATAGCAAAGCGCCGTGTACAGCCAGCAAGTCGCCACAACGATCAGAAGGTTATTTGCGGTATGAGGGTAGTTAAGGTACTAAAAAGATTCTTAAGACGTGTAGGAACTTTTCTGGATACCTCAGCATCCCTGCTCTCCTCAAAAATAGCGGGTGAGAAGAACCAAGCCGTGTGGTTGGATTGGAAAATCAGGGGTGGGGTGAAGAAGACAAAATAGACACCGTAGAGGATGGGGAAGAGCATGACGTAGTAGGTACGTTTTCCTGAAAATTCAGGGCATTTAAAGTTGCTCTCTCCCCCTCCAGCTCTCTCTCTGTCGCCTCCTCGCTAACTCTATCCCTCGCTCTCTCTCACTTTGTCTGTCTCACACGCTCTCTCTCCCTGACTCCCTCTCTCTCCCACCTCCAAAAATTGGGTCCATCATGTGCGGCTTCCACATGTCGACCAGCCGGTTGATCACCAAAATTAAGCACGACATACAAGCGCTACACCACAGTCCTAAAACTTAGGATTTCATCATCCTTTTGAATTTTTACCAAGTCCAATAGCCCCTGCAACATAATTCAGATGAGGATGATGGCAGAACATTGATCCTTCCATCATTAGGTATCCAGTTAAGATGGAGTTGACACTTATAGCTGCCATATCGATGAGACCGAGTATGGCCATGATCTGGAAAATGTAGGTTTAGGTTTAGGCTTTGGTTTAGGCTTAGGCTTATCTTCTGGTTTTCCAGAGGGCCTCCTTCCGTTTTTTTCACCCACCTTATAGCAACTCAATTTTGCAAATTGCGGTCGTGTAATTACGAGCAGGCACGGGATGTACATTAACTGAAAATAATGGCCGTATTTGGAAGATCGGACCCGACACCCACCTCAACAATAACACCATATAGCAAGAATAAAGCCCCGAGAATTGGGCTCCGACGGCCCTTTGCGTACCACTCGGCTTCGGTGGTGGGAACCGCGCTAAAAAGGTGTAATTTATTTAATAAATACCATAAAGAGGTTTGCTTGAAGGATAGTAAAAAATTTTGGTGTAGTCTTCCGGTCTTGCGTTACCGAATAGTTCACTTACCGGCAATTATACATTGGCATTTTCTCAAAGTTAAAACCGGCCGCGATGTACCACTCCATTTTTCAAATTTGGTGTCAACTTAAAAGACACTTTGAAATAAGTCATAGCGAGAGAGAGAGAGAGACGAGAGAGAGAGAGAGAGCGAGCGAGATGAAGAGAATCGTAAAGCTTTCGGGGCTACGGTAAATACAAGAGTGAAAGAGTAGGTAAAGCGCATTTGAAGGGTTGGGGATAAAGACTAATGAAAGACCAATTTGATAAACGAATTGCAGCTAAGATGCAATTTGGTAATAGCAGGTGAAAGCTGTGAATTCTCATGACTTCCGGAAACTAGCAGAATTTTAGGGCGATTTCCAAAAGCACCTCCTTCTTACTGTAGATACCATAATCCAGATGGACTTTGATGTCACCTGAATTCCCAAGCACCCACCCTACACCAAACTACGAAAATGCTGTTGAATCACCCGAACGCCACCACTACGCCTACCACCTCGGCATTGTACCGACTAGAATATTTATACTCCCCAGATGGGATTAGCATACAAAAGACTTGGTCTACATGATTTGCAATATTCGGGGCCCGCCTCCACGACAAGGAGTGGCAGATGAGGTACCCTACTTGTATTGTTTTTATGGCGACCGAGTTAAATGAGCTCGGAGGACTTATTTTGTCGAAAGGGAATCTCGAACGCGGAAAGCTAGGCTTAGGCTTACAAGCCTTGTTAAGCTAAAGCTTCTTAGGCTTGGGCTGATGCTAAAGTTTAGACGACGGCTTAGACTTTGGCGTGGGTTTTTCTCGCATCTTCAGTCTGCTATTCATCCTCGAGGCTTGTATACTGACTCCCACGCATTTCAAAAAGCAGAGAATGTCTTAATTATGATTCAGAGGGTGCAATTTGAAAAAAACTAGGAATGCCCAACTTGTTTTCTGAATCGAAAAACCTGCAATCTTTTGATGTTCCGGGTTCTGCACGAATGACTATCTTGAGAATGGACTGCTGGCAAAAAAAAACGAAATTTGCACGCTGGAAGGTTGCTAATTGCTTTTGGCGTCTAGAACGGGCGGATTCGGAATTCTGGAAAACGTATATTCCGGGGATATGGTAAGCGCTTCTGCATGTCCATAAGATAGTCTATGAGAATCATTTACCCGCACTTTTCTCACAAAACGGAGCCGTTTTCGGAAAATTTCCGGCACTTTGCATACGTTTTTTCATTAGTCAGGCACCTACAGGAACAAACTATAGTATGGAAAACAATGAATAGGGGGGGTTTATGCCTAGGCAAAATTCATTGTTGAATGGAGTTTCCTGAGAACGTAATTTTATTGGCGAGAGGCGCCGCGTGGGCATGGTCTATTCAGAAGGCAAACTAGAACTTTAGGGGTGTCACCTGTAGGGAGTTTTTGAGAGAATAGAATCGGTGGTAAGAGCTTATCTTGCTTTGATTACCGCTTTTTAAAGGGACAGCACACATTGTGATCGTAAACAAAAATTACGCAATCTAGCTTTTTAGATGGCAGAATGAGCTTTATTTTTAATGACCAAATTTCTTGAGGGCCGAGCTACTCTAAACGCTATATTCTACGCCAAACATAGCTGATCTAGGAGTTTGTTTCCAAGGGTCTTTAATTGTGATTTTTCCTAACTACCTGACTGGGCGCCTATGTGCTAAAACCTTGACTGCAAAAACCGCACTAATAAAAACTTGATATAGGCTTACGGTAGCTTTAAAAACAGTTGCTAGCAAATATTCTGCCTATTCAAAAACCCCAGACGGGGTGCGGCGGCAGGTCCTTTAGAAATTTGACGCCATTTTTTGCTGATCACGATGAACCAACTCTCGGACTTTTCCAAATTCCGCCGAATCTTAGAGCTGGTACACTCCGCTCCCACATTACGGTACAAAATGCACTTGCTTTTGCCAGAGGACCGGTTGGTACGTTTCTAGACTAATTACGGGTACATGGGATTGTCATAATGTGTAGACGTAGCTTTAAAAACTGAAAAATACACCTCGATTGTTTTACCAAGTCTTCTTTTCAACTGTTTTTGGGAAGAAGTGGTTACTGTAAGTTTCTGCAAATACGGTAGTTTTTCAAAATGTTTTATCATCATAAAAACATGTATGAATTGCACTGTGTTGTAAAATCCAAGAAAATCTGAGAAATATTTTTGAGCGTTTGGGTCAAGGCACAAGTATTGGATCGGTAGGGGAAATCAAAAATTATAAAAATGTTTTGATGCCCGGATTCCGCGTAGTAAGCAAAAATTGGCCAAAAATCAGCAAAAACGCGGATTGTCGCCTGGGGAATCGGGTAATCAAACGACCGAAATCCGGATTTTGGATGTAAAACGAATTCGTGCACGTGAAAACACTAAAATTTGGGATTCTGGAATCTAATCAAAGCACAGGTTCAAGCTCTGCTGGTTTTGGCCTTCGGAGTTCTTGACGACGCACTTGTATTTGGCCTCGTCCTCCTTGATGGGGCCGGTGATCTCGAGAAGGTACTGGTAGCCGTCCTTATCCTGGAAAAAAACGACTTGAGCTTAAGCTTAGGCTTAGGCTAAGGTTTAGGTATAGGTTTACGCTTAGGTTAGGGCTTGGGTTTGGGTCTAGGCTTAGGCTTAGGTTTAGGTTTAGGCTTAGGTTTAGGCTTAGGCTTCGGTTAGGCTCCAGCTTAGGATTGCATTAACAAAATTCGGCTCCGATTCCCAGATAATCACTGCTGGCCTGCCCGCTCAATCCATTAATACACCCACCTTGTCGTCCTTCTTCACCACAGCCTTTACTCGGTCGGTGAGCTTGACGGGCTTGTCGTCCTGAAAATGGACTTTTCAGAAAATTGACGAAAATGGCAAAAACCAAGGAGCCCAAGGAGTTTAACCTGCTTCCCAAATTCCGCAAATATCCTTCTCTAGCTCACCTTGAACCACTCGGCCTTCATCTCGAGGTGTGACTTGGCGCGGACCTTGATGACGATAACGTTTCCGCCATCGCGCTGCACAATATGGGGCTTGTCGTGGAATTCGGGGGCATCTGGAAGGTAAAAGATAGAGAACGAGAGGGAGACAGAGAGAGAGAGACAGAGAGGGAGGGCGAGAGAGCGAGAATGCTTACCTCCAACGGAAACGGTGAAGGTAGCGCTGTTCTCACCATCGGAGGAGTAGAATTTGGCCTTGTACTCGCCGGCAAGGGGTTTGTCGAATTCCTAAAACGGTACGCTAGTAGATTGCTACTGACGAAAATGCATAAGTGCGTTCCCTTCATACCAAGATTTCGCAAATTTTGCATAACTCAACTACTTAAAGTTTTAACTGTTATATTTCCAAGGCTACTACTGCTTTAAGCACTACTTTCACATACAATAAAACGTGATAATCTTGATCCAGGAACATCCTAAAATTAGGGTCATACTTCTAAAAATAGAGCCGGAACTACCGGCAGTTCTGGAAATTGCGTATCTTGGAGAACAAAAGAAATGAAATGAGCGACTAATAAAAGCGACAAAACACGACGGACTCTCACACTCGCTCTCGCTCACTTTGCAAAACCAAATAATATGTATTCCAGAACAAGACATATGCTCCTAGTACCTCATCCTCTTGAGGACAATAAGACAATTGTCGCGGCGGTTCCGGAAAAGGCTACGCTTTTAGCAGAGACCAAAATTCTATTCGGACCAGGAAGACTTGCTCCAGAACAAAAGCGCCTAAAAAATTTGGGGTTCTTGGGAATCAGTGGATCACCTTTTCCTGGTATGAATATGATTGAGAACGTTATTGTTATAATGCCGTATGTAGAACCAGGTATTCTAGTTTCTAGGTCCTGACTAATCAAAAAAATTTAAATAAATTAGCTATTTTGATTTTTTTGCGCGTTTAAAGCTATATTTTTGGGCTTTTCTTGGGTCAGGCTTTAGTTTTTATTTTTCGTATCTGACAACAAGATTTAAATAACGTACCTTAATCAAGCAAGTCAGCTTCTTCCTATTTCCGCCCTCATCGGCATGGGAAAAGACGTAGTTCTCGCTCTCGGCCAATTCTCGGTCGCCCAACAACCACTTGGTCTTCTCTGGCTCGGATACTCCGGTCACGACAACCTGAAAAATATAGAACTTGTTGCTTTCTCTCTCTCTCTCTCTCTCTCTCTCTCTCTCTCTCTCTCTTTCTCTTTCTCTCCCTCCTAATTTCCTTCGCTTGTCGGTTCCTTTAAACTAGCTCCAGCGATATGTTGAACCCATTAAAAGTCCAGGAATTTTCAGCTCAAGACAACCCGCCCAGCTTCTCAAACTTTCCCCATAATTCAGGGCAATTTCCGTTCAAAGTTCAGGTCCGGAATGACTGCCCCCGGGGGTCGGCCGGCTGTCCGACCAGCTGTGGATGTGAACCTTAAAGTCAGCAAGCGTGTGGGCAATTACTCTCTCTTTCTCTCTTCTTCTCTCTCTCTCTTTCTCTATATATATCTCTCTCTCTCTGTCTCTCTCACCTCCGGTCTGCCATATTTCTACACAAAAAATGGGCCCTAGAGGTGGGTTGTCAGATATCGATATGTTTTCGGTTGGGAATGATTGGATTGATCAGGTAATGGTGGACTTAGGCTTAGGCTTAGGCTTAGGCTTAGGCTTATGTTAGGCTGAGGCTTAGTCATAGGCTTAGGCTTAGGTTTAGGCTTAGGCTTAGGCTTAGGCTTATGCTTAGGCTTAGGCTTAGGCTTAGGCTTAGGCTTATGTTAGGCTGAGGCTTAGGAGTGGTCCCCGACCACTTTACTTAGGTTTAGGTTAGTCTTAGGCTTAGGCTTAGGTTTAGGCAAAAGAAACGCTTAGGCTTAGGCTTAAAGCTTACCTCCAAGGTGACGTTCCCCTCGGCAGAAATAATTTTTGGCTCTCCGTAAATCGCTGGCGGGGCCATGTTTGACGCCTTAAGTTAGAATATATAATTTTTAGCAGAAAATCAATGCAATAGAAGAGCAAAGCAGGAAAATAGGCAATTCTAAATGCCGCATGCATCCGGAAGTGGCCCCAATTTTTCGACGTGTTCCCCTCTCCAGGAACGAAAAACAAAAAGTCAACAATGCTGTGTGTGTGGGGGATGTGGCGAGTCGAAGTGCCTGGTTTTTTGGGCACTCGAGCCCGCTGATGGGGCTGTAAAATGCAGGCTTTTTGTGCGACCAACGCAAAAAGTCCACAATAGCATGGAAAGTGTGGTAGAGTTGGACGATTGAAATCTAGGACGATTTGAAAGCGATTTGCCATTTTTGGGCAATGCTTTGCGGTTTTGGAAGGCTAAAATTTATTAGATAGTCGTAACTGTTAAAAAAGATTTAGAATAAACCAGGGTTGAAAAGCCGCTTCGCGACTTTTCAACCCCCCTGGCCCCGTTTTTTTTCCTTGAAAATGAAAGGAAACAACCTCTCCTGTCCATTTATATAGTCAAATCCCCACTTCCGGTCTATGCTAATTATTCCTAACAAAGAAGTTTTGACAAAAACTAATTTTTAGGAATTTTGTTAAATCTGATGCGGGCGCCCCCGGGCCATTACGCACCTAATGACGTATCAAACATACCTTAAAATTAATCCCCTATCGAGATATCCTCCGGGCGGACACCGGAAGTGGGTGCAAAGTGGCACACACAGACACACACACACACACAGACACTATTTTTTTATATATAGTAGGATTTAAGAAACCACATACCAAGAATATAATTTTTTACAAGGTTAAGTCAATGCTTCATCAATTTACTATTTTTATAGGACGTTTTCTCGCCTGAAACTTTTTTAGCATCATTTTTAGCTGATATTCCACGGGCCAGGTATTTTAAATTTCATTTATAGTTATTTAATTTTTCAACTAAATTTATTTAAAATTAATTAAAAAAGACCGGTATTTTTTTATTGTTAAAGCTAAGGCTTAGTGTTGGCTAAAAATTCGCTTTAAAAGACCGAAACGCACAGAGAAATTACTGAAAGCAAGATTTTTAATCCAAAAATCAATATGACTCTTAGTTTAGAATTTTAAGCATCATTATTGCTTTTAAGGTATTTATAGAAACGGAAACTGTACGTGAAAAATCCACAAACCGGGAACCCAAATCCTGCAGACCCTCAATTAGCCAAGTATCCAACCTGTCTCCGCCCACACCCCCGGAGACCCACCACTCAATATTTGCGCTTGTTTTTTCTTTGCACACGTTTTGTGGATCGGAGAGGGTTGAGGCTGTGACAGCGAATTTGAGAACAGACCCACAAAAGGTCGAGGCCGGCTCAACCAAAAAATGCGCTTGGAAAATCGACACGCCTTTTTCAGCTGGGCTGCCCGAACATGGGGGGCGAATCCCGAAAAATGACATGTGGCTCGGGACAATGAAGTGACAGCCAGGGGAGAGATAGAGGAAGAGAGAGAGATAAAGAGAGAGGGGGAGAAAGAGCGAGCGAGAGAGAGAGAGAGGGAGAGAGAGCGGCAAGCCGAAAAACTATAGCTTTGGGATTTCTATGATATACCGAAAAGATTGCAAAACGGACTGGAAGCGCTAATTAAAGGCAAGGGAGCAAGAGAAAGAGAGAGAAAGAGAGAGAGAGAGAGAGAGAGAGAGAGAGAGAGAGAAAGAAAGAACAGTTAACAGGAAAAATAGCTAAATTCAGGATTCCTTGACACGCTGTTTAAACATTCAAAAGCATTGAAAAGCAAGCTGGAGGAAGCTTAAGGCGAAGAGAGAGAGGGAGAGAGAGAAAAAAAAAAAAGTTGTGAATTCTAGTTTATAGTCGCGAAAAACTAGTATCGCTCACTCGGCAATCGCTGCAAATCGCTAAGCTAAAAGCTTAAGGTTCCAAATTTAAAGGGACCAGCAAGCGTGGGTTTTTAGTCATGGATTAAGCATTGAAAAAAATATTTGGGAAAATTTTAATGCGAAATCTGGAGGTTTCAACCCCTTTTCTACCCCCAGAAAATTTCGAAACTCCCTTTAAACCAACATATCAGCACCCCAGGTGAATCATATCACGAAATGAGTGAGCTGTCGATGTGTGTGGGTTGCCGCTCAAGGGGGGTGTCCCCCTCCTGAGTCTCAACCCAGAGCTCATCAACGGAAAGTCGTAACCTGAAACGATAGGGCGGAGAGCATGAGGTTTTCCGGGAGACCCAAAGATGCAGAGTGTGCATGGGGCATTGGCCGGTGGGACGGCCCGGAGGGGGGCTTTTGGGTGTAAAGCCCCCTCCTTCGGCCGGGTGATCTCCAACTCTCGGACTCTCGACTGGGGAGGGCGGATGACCGGAAAAACACGGTGGCCAGGAGGGGGAGGAGGTGGACCCCCTCCTGGCACCTCGACCGCAAAAAATAGCCTCTACCCCCAGACGGAACGAGATGGCTTTCTGGCATTTTTGAGATCGGGGTCGGTTATAGGGGGCTATTAAATCGCTGAAGTTTGGGCAAGTTTGGAATCGAATCACATCGAACCAAAAGTAGACAAAATCGTGAAAATTATGATAGATTAATTCCGAAAGACGAAGCCTTAAAATTCACAAGTTTTATTCACTTAATTTTGCCTTGAGGGGGACGTCGGCATTTTAACTTGTCGGCATTACGTCGAAAAATTAAAAAAACCAGAGGAAGCCAGGGATAGAGAGTGGAGCCGAGGGCGAGGGAGTGAGAGAGAAGCAGAGAAAGTGAGGTGGACTGTAGTCGGATAGAAGCTATTTAGCCAACTTCTGAAGGGAGCCTACCAGCTAACCAAAAAACTATGATTCGATAGATACGATGTCACGGATGATTCCTCCGTCTTACTCTGTCTCAGTCTCTGTCTCTTGCTCGCTTATTTTGCCCCAGCACCACTCTCCCTTCTCTCTCTCTCCCTCTCTCTCTCGCTCTCTCTTCTGTCTCTCTCACTCTCGCACTCTCTCGCTCTCTATCTCTCTGTGATCGAAAACCTATAAAAGCCAATCTTCTGAAAAACCACAATGGATCAACAAAAGGTATATACTTTATTCACAACGTTCAGCAAGTAAATTCCTGCCCCTTCCAGTTCTTCCAATCCTCGTTGATATATTCAATGATCGGGCCGAACACCTGGTCATGTGCCTTCAATCCCCACTCAAAGTCGATGTGGGCGAAGCCATCATAGCCCTTCTGGCTGCGCATGCTTTGAAGGCGGGGGATGAGGTAGGACTAAAATAGCCGATCTTTCAGCATCAAAGATGGCGGTTCCAACATGAAATTCATACTTACCTGAATATCAAGTGGATCCGCTAGTGTATCGTTGAAACCCCAATACAACCTGGTTGGTAGCGTCATATCCTCGACAGCGTATTTGGGAGGGGTTGGCTAAACAGTTTTAGAAACCCATCCTTTGTTGAGTTCTATTAATGCGTATTTCAGCTATCATAGCCATTAATGCAGGAATATTTTAAGGACAAGGGAAACTAGTAGCGATTCTTGAGGAATTATTCCCGGGCAAAACCAAAAAGCTCATGATTCCTACCTGTCCATAATGTTTCTGGTTCTCCTTCTCGTCGTCGTAATCAAACATTTGGAATTTCTGAGCCTTCACGTTTTGCGCCATCTGGATGACGACGTTCGTGGAAGTACCAGAGGGCATGTGGTTTAGGTAGACGGGGACTCGGGTCTAAATACAGATCGTAATTATGAGCAAGGGAGAGATAGAGAGACGAGAGAGAGAGAGAGAGAAGAGAGCGAAAAAGAGAACAAGCTCTACGAGATTTTATAAGTACCTCATTCAACTGGTTACTGTTCCCAGAAATCAAGAACAGCAGATTGTCGCAGTCCTTGTAGGTGTCGGCGTCCTCGCAAACGTCCTCAGCAATAAGCCTCGTCAACCAGTCCGGTGGTAGGAACTGGTCCCAGCCAAGGTCTTTCAGGAGCTCCTACATAACCGGTGTGGTCTCAACAGCTTCTGTTACCTGGACAAACTGATACCGATCCGCCAACCAGGCGAAAAGACCTTTGATGTGAGCAACCGAAGCGACGGGACCGAGGGCGTGGAATTCGCGGATCTAAAACGAAATTTGATTGGTTTGAGAAAATGTGGATCTTTCGCTAGTGCGCGATTTTTTAAGAACCAGGAGGTCATCTAAAGGGACAGACAAGTCATGGCTTTGGTTTTCTTGCTAAGCTATGTGCGCTGCGTGTCTCGATGCGTGGCGCGCTGCGAGTCACGTTGCGTATCACAGCGCGTCTCGCGTTGCATGCTTTGTGCTTTGCGTGTCTCGCCGAAATCCCAGTGCAGGCACGCGGTTTAGCAGGCGAGCTCTTTTTTTCCCCGACCTTTAACTTTACGCAGGTTTACTCAATGCTACCTTCTGCTCCAACTGATGATTCGTCGAAAATTCGGCAAACGCCGCCATCGTTCCCATACTGTGAGCTACGTAATATAATTGGCCAGCATTGGTTTGATCTATTACGTAGTTGAGCATTGCTGGCAGATCTTGCGAACCCATCTAAATTGTGAACTACGAAAAAAAGCCGCGTTTTACTTGGTCCCAAGAGAACTGCCAAAATTCGTGTCCCTTCGGGTCAAGCTTGGTATGATTTTTGCCATACACGTTGCCTCGGAAGTTCCCAAGCCACACGTCGAAGCCAGCGTCGGCAAAGGTGAAGCCTGGAAGACAAGATTGAAAGTGAATTTGAGAGGATGCCATCGAATGTAAGACTAGTACGAAAAATGTTGGCTTTTGTAGAGGATGGGGCTGGCGACATCCTGGCTCGGCATTAATATTTTACCTCGTCCCGTTACTTTATTACCTTTTCGTCAATTTTCATAAATCTAGTAATTTTCGGAAATATCCTAACCCACCAGCGCTCTGACTGGGCAGATTCAGGATCCAAGAAGCCGACGAGCCCTCCATGCCATGTTGCAGGAATACGGTAGGTCGGGCGCAGTTCGGAATTCCTTTTTGGTGCTGTCTGGAATGTAAATGCTATTAATGTTTTTTAAAGCGCGAAGACCCTTCCTCAAAATTGGTACTTCGTCCTTTTCTCTTTCTTTGAAAACACTATGGCATGCTAGCAGCAACAATTTGCGGAATAAGAGAAAGAATGATTTTGAGATTTGGGCAAGCCTAACGAAAGTCCGGATTCAAAAACACTTTAATCGATATCGGAATCTGTGGAAAATTTAACTGTCAAGGTCCATTTTCTAACGTAATTATATTGTTTAACCAAGCGTAATTACGCAAATTACGTTTTTATGCAAACCCACTTGTTTGGGATCCTGTGGATAGTCAAAATATATCCATCTGCCGTCGTCACAAAGTGCTCTTCCGCCTCATAATCCCAGCGTTTCGCGATACCCAGCTAATAATACGTATTTGAGCTACTTTCCAAACTCACAAAGTCCAACTCCAGCTCCGGATCCGGCGGGAATTCTGTGGGAAAAGCGGAAATTAAGGGCAAAGCCAGGAAAATCCATAGCTTGGCCATTTTTCGGAGCCAGAATTCAGGCAGGAGCCTCAGCCAATCAATTTGCACCCACCGAATTTTTCATTTTCCGGTTTGCCGACTTATCAGCACGTGTTTCTAGTCTGGTTGTTGTGCTTTATCGGGGTCGCAGATCGAGTGGAAGCGCTCCAGAATCAGTTGCAAAAATTTATTTATCATACTTATCATCATAAAAAGGTATTAAAAATAGTAGAGCTTTTCGAGCTCGATTTGCTGGAACAACCACACACCTCCGATGAAGCAGAAGAGCTGAAATTTGCATTAATCCAAAGCTACCTTGCATGCTTCTTACCTCCAGAATTGAAAGCAGGATAATCACGCCGAAAATTGCCGAAAATTGCGTCCGGTTCCTGTACTGCATTTCTTTCATGCACCCCTAAAATAAGGTTGACATTTTAAGGTTTTTAAAACAATTTGTTTGTTAAATTGTCAGTTATAGCTCTATTCCTCTAATTTTGCCGTTGTCTAACCAATAGAATCAAAATAAATATTTATTTTTCTTCACACCGACACCAGATATTTTTTCAAACAAGACAATAAGGCGAGGGGCGCCATAGAAGGTCATGGGAAATGCGTGACAAGCACTGTACAGGCAAGTTGGTGTATTTTGTAATTTTGTAGGAATTAAGACAATTTTCGGACTTTTTAAGGGTAAAAATATGGGAATGGGACGCCTGGGATATTCGTGAGAATTTTGAGGTGATTCAAAATGATAAAAAAATCCTGACCATTCAAGAAAAGCAGGGTTTGATTGGCAACAGGAAAATAGATTACCGGACAAAAATCTAGGTTTTTTAAAAAATAGAGCTTTGTCCAAAAATGCAAATTTCAGGCCACCATGCTCATCACAAAAAAAATATTCCAGACAAATGCATTCTGAGATATTGTAGTTTTGCTCAAAAAGCGTCATCATCCGACGTGATCGAGTCACATAACCAGAAGCCGACGATAATACCAAATATCTAGAAAATAAGCAAAAATTTTACAGCCAAGTGCGTTCCAGCCAAACCTGTATAAGCGCAATGAATACGACAGTCCAGGCGACGATTTTGAAGTGCCAGCTCAGCTCTTTGAACGACTCCACTATTCGGTCGTAGCATCCCTAACACAGTACGATATTTACGGCCCAGGATGCACAAAGGTTTATTATATTTATTCTATATCTATTTTTTGCTTAATTTGAACCGGTCAATTTCTAGAAACTTGATTTTAAGCACTTTAAATAATAGAAGCCGTTTAAAGACCCTTTTTAAAAATTGCATTGAAGTGCCTTCAAGAGCCCGTTAAGGCTGAAGTTTTCCCGATCAGCTTGCATGCGGTATCCTACAGAAGATGTCTGTGCTCTTCGTTACGTGACTTAAGGCAACTTTACGTCATGCTACGCAACGCTTCGCCGTCAGAATGCACTGATAGCGCTTTAGGATCTGCTTTTTCGCAACAATTTGGCTGGGCTTTGCACGTCATTATACCTGATGCTACGTTATGATACGCGACAGCGTCTCTAAACCACGCCCCGTGGTACGTCAATCGTTGGGGAAAAATTCGCATTTTTTAGATTCGGGATGTACATTTGGCCCAAGAAGTTCTTAAAGCCAATAACTCACATTTCCATATCGCGACACAGTAGGACAATATTGCTGCAGCCTTCCAGTACGATCCGGTGGACAGCAGGCGGGTGGGAAATGATGCGCGCCCCTGGTCATCGTGTACCACCCGGTATGGTTGAAGTCGCCAATTTTCGAGTCGACCCCGCAGCATTCTTTCTGAAAAATGGGTAGTTTTGATCAATTTAGGTGGGTCTAAAGGTACCGAGAAGTCAACGTCTACAAGGTTTTACGAAACACAAGATTCAACTTGGTGTTTCCATAAATTTTCTCTCAAAACTCACTTCAATCATAAACTTGTCCCAGGCGGCCTTCACCAGGAACGCATCGCCTGAATCGAAATATTTTTGAGATCTTCCATCCAAGACTTTACTTTTCGTATTCGCGTCGTGGTCATCTTTGTATCGTCGCGGGACGTCTGTCCCGTTATACATTTTTAAGGAGGCTCGAAGGATGTCCCGGAAATCTTTGTCAAACTAAAAACTCGGAATTAGCCTCGAAAATCATAAATTCTTACCATATGACTATGTAGTCCTGCATAAATTGCCGCTGCTATTTCGGTTGCCAGGATGACCATGAGACAGGTGGCGTACTGTAACGGGGCACAGTTTAGGGCGAAAAACTTTGACTTACGCAACACAACAGCGGACGCCATTCCTTTGCTGCTCCGCAACACCCCAAGAATGCGATGATGATCACGAGGACACCACCGAAGAGTAGAACTTTTCCGATTTGCCGGACGGCGATGGGCTTGGTGGCCTGAAATATCAGGAATTATTTTGACTCGATTATCACGCTCTTTTAAAAAGGTTAGTAAGGCAAAAATGATATTATCGGTTTTGTTTGTTGCGTATTTTATCAAAAATTATGTATTTTCCAAGGATGGTGATGTCCCAGCCTATTTCGGATTGATTTTGTCTTCAAGGTTCCTCTAGAGTCTAAAATACGATTGGTTTTCGGTAGCAGAGGCCGTAAAGACCCTAGTTGCTGTGTGTTTTTGACTTCTCAGCTCCTTTAAAAATTAGAAATTGTTGCTCTGACTTATACTTCAATTTTTTAGGCTCCCCCAGCATCAATTTCAATGGCCGTCGGGTCTGGCTGTACCAAAAAGGGCATCTCAATTTTGCGCATTTTTTGGACGCAACGGACCAAAGCAGACCACGGGGCCATCGGCCTTGACCTCGATGAACACACAAAAAACCGACGGAAAAAATCGAAAAGCTTATTTTAATGTGAAGCGGCCGTGATCAAGGGGACGCACAATAGGAAATATTGGCCCTGGCTGCTAAAATGTGTCCAAATCCGGATTTTGGTCCCTGGTCTGGACTCAGAGAACGGGCAGCTTCTTTAAGATTGGCAGAAAACTGGTACTTACAGCTCGATACAAGCGATTTTTACTTTGAGATATTACCACTTTGATTGTGAAGCTGATATACGCAAAAACCACTCCCACTTGACTTAAGCGCCACCCATGAAAATGCCTACAATAAAGAGGAGCTCTGACGTCAAATACGGCTAAACATTATGGCGTCAAGGTGTGGAAATTTTGAGCAAACTCACCAAATCCCGGAGACCCTCGTCCTGTTCGTAGCCCTGAACTTTGGAGGTGGCCACGGCAATTGAATCGACTGCTGACTGATCGACCAGTAGCCACGTGCCGATGCCCACGCAGACGAGTCCGCATATCTGAAAAAAGGGCAACAGGATATCGAATTTTCCATTTCAGACACTTGGTTTGTTGATCTCAAAGAGTCTTTGCTTGCCTGCCTTTGATTTTTCCCGGTAACTAAGCAGAATCTCCGTTAAAAGCGATCGCTATCTCTGTAAAAATTCTGTCCGATACTTCATAATTAAATTTCTTGTTCTTACTCCTCTAAGATAATATTCTCGTCCTCCAGTCACCCAAACTCTCACCAATGAGGAACCGATACCGATCAGGGCACACGGGGGACAAATTTATGGCGACCCGGGCGTTCCGTGTCAATTCATAAATCAGGGGCCATCCTATCAGGGTTGGGTGCAAATCGGGGCTTTCGGCAGCGTCTCTTAGGCTTTTCCTTTTTACCCAGTGGGAGCTCTGTGAGGCCCAGAGAGTCCAAAGGACCCAAAAGGCTCCAAAGGACCCAAAGAAAAACAGCTAACTAGCGTTTGATTGAATGGGGTCGGTTTTTTCGGGGAACCAGGACTTGACTTGGGGACTAAAAAACACAAAGTTTACAGTTTAGGATTTACAGAAAGACGGGAAGTAGGAGAAGGCTACGGATTTGCGAAAATCCCAATTTTGACTGCTTTGTGCCTTTAAGACTGTGCTAAAAATTTTTGTGGTCGATGGACTTTTAAAAACTCGAAAATGTCGAGAACAGTATTAATGTACCCTGAAAAAGATAAAGAGAAAGTACCCTGAAAAAAATATTCTGTTTCATTTTTCAATTTGCTCTGAAATTTTTTTGAGTACCAGGTCTAAGTACTGATTCATCTAATGAAACTCCAAGATCAGACAGAAAACAAATCCCCCCGCCTTGAGCCAGATTTAAAAAGTTTATCCAAAAATGAATCTCGGCTGAGAAGAAAATGCTGACCAGCTCAGAAATCCGGGCGAATCGGATTGGTCGCCGCGAGCTGAGCACCAGGTTGGAATCACTTTGAATCAAAATGTCAGGCTACATGAATGCGGAGGTTTGACTCGATAGATGTACATCCTTGAACAAATTAAAGGGCCAGGTAGGACAAGGTAATGGATACTTCTTGATTCGGACCATCGGGAGCCCAGTAATTAATTTTTGGGCGTATTTTCTAGCAATAGTCAATTGCTTGCATCTCGTCGGTAATAATTTTGGTCAATTTTATTTTGTTGGAATGCGACCTTGCCGAAAATTCATTTTATCGAAATTAGACCTTTCCGAAAGTTCCTATTTCGAAGTTTTTAATACACTAAATTTAATTTTTACATATCAGAGATGAAAAAATTTAGGCAAGGTGGGTTTTCTACAAAATGAGATTTCAGCAAAACGGTGTTGGACAACATGTTTATCGACAAAATAAAATTTCGTGAAATTGGCTTGCCAAAAAACGTTTCGACGGAAATGATTTTATCGTAATTCCACTATTTCGAAATGTTGGGCATGTTTAAGATGAAATAATTTCGACGAAGTGATTTTCGACAAAATAGATATCGACAAAATTAAATTTGAAAATACTGATAACGTCTTAACCTTCCTCTTGGAGCTGTCTAACCTCTGATCACCCAACCCTGCCGCTTCCAAAGTGCTCATCGCAAAGTTTGGGTTTGATGTGTGAGAGGCTTCAATCAACTTATCTCGACTTGGCTTTGCCCCTCTTTCTCCGCCTTGGGCCCCACCGCGGGGCGTAATATGGCCC